TAGTGCTGGGGCACCACGGCGGGCGTGGCTGGCACGGCGGGCAGCACGGGCTGCAGAGAGACGGCAGCATGAGGGACAGACACTTCCACGGACGGAGCAGCCACAGCTTTCTGGGAAACCTCTTCCAGGCCTCCCCACCCTGACAGTGAACAAGTCTCTCCCAATATCCCATCCATCCCTGCCCTCTGGCAGTGGGAGCCATTCCCTGTGTCCTGTCCCTCCATCCCTTTTCCCCCAGTCCCTCTCCAGCTCTCCTGGAGCCCCTTCAGGCCCTGCCAGGGGTTCTGAGCTCTCCCTGGAGCTGCTCCTGTTCAGGTGAGCACCCCCAGCTCTGCCAGCCTGGCTCCAGAGCAGAGGGGCTCCAGCCATCAGAGCATCTCCATGGCCTCCTCTGGACACACTCCAACAGCTCCATGTCCCTCCTGAGCTTTGCTGCAAAGCCACTAACTAATGCCAACAGACTGATAAGGGACTGAGCAGGTCACTATGTGCAGAGGTGAGTGAGGAGTGCATACAGACAGCCCTGGAACCCATACCCACTGGGAACAAGAGCATAACTGATAATATGAAATGTGCCCCAAGATCCAGAACTATTTGAGAAAGCTTTGGACTTACTGCCGAGGGCTGCTGGTAGTGGCCGAGCTGGGGGAGGCTGTGGGGCACGGGCTGGCCCTCGCTCAGGGGGGGGCTGTACACCCTCTGGATGGCAGGAGGGACAGTGTCGGGCAGGGACGAGTAGATGACGCTCTGCTGGCTGCTCTGCGAGTCTGAATAAACCGTGGAGCCCTGGCCACTGTCAAACGTGCTGTCAGCTGCAAGAACAGTCATTTTTATTAAAAGTTCAACAGCTCCCCGTGCTCAAGTGATGATCTTAGAGCAAGGTCACCATGGTTTATGTAATTAGCATTTTTACTACTCTAGCCCTTTCTTTATATAAATAAATTATACAACACCAATGTTATTCTCTACAAAAGGCACACACTGCTTCTCTTAAGCCAAAACCCATCCCCATGGATTTCTGCACACACTGATATTTCAGGCACTTTACTATATCCTTTAAAGGGCATAAGGCTGACATTCAGAATTGCAGATGCTTATAGATTTTGTAGAATAAAAGGAGAGGAAACCCTGATTGTCATGTCCAGAGCAGATCGTGGGGTCTTTCAGAGTTCCATCTTCCAGGGATGCACCAACTTTAACACTACTTTTATCAGCAGCCCTGAAAATTACAAAATTCTTTATGCTGTATGATTTTAGTTCAGCGAGTCATGCTCTGCTTGAGCGTAGTGCAATTAAGGTCAGACACAAACCCCTGTGCAGGTTCCAATGGGTTTGGCACGCTCAGATCTGTGGGAGTTTCTGGTGGAGCATTTGCCCAGTTAACCTATGGAACTGCACGGCTACGGGCACTGGGCAAGCACTGGGTCCTTTGGGAACTGGAAATATTGGTATTACTGACTTTAAAAAGTCTTTTCACAACTTTTAAAATGTGTAAAATACAAGTGCCCAACTCTGTTCAAGCCTAAATTACTGCTTTCTTCACTTGAGAAAGGAAGTGAGACAACCAGACTGCAGCTAGATGTATCCCAAGGACAAATAGCTTTAATAGGGATTTAAAATTCAAAACTGAAAGAAAACTGCATCACAGTTTCAATAACCATCTTAAGTTATAGCTAAGCTTAAAGAGTATTTCTTTTCCCAACACCTTCCTCTGTCTCTTTTTTCCATATTCTAAATAAAGTTTTACTTATTTGGCTTTTAAATAACGAATTACTTTTTAATAGCACCAGAGATGACATTTCTCTTCGGTATTCCCAAGCTATTCCCCCAACTGTTTTTCTTTTCCAAAATTAAACTCCCCTCTCTATTTATTCAATTCATTTCTGAAGAGCCAACATAGCCCTACTCTCATGATGGGATTTCTGCTGCATTAACATTCTGTTTTATTACAAACAATTATTCAGGACCTCAAAGGAAAAAAAAAAAAAAAAGAGTAATCTAATGGTAGAGTAATATAGGAAAAGCTGTGAGTCAGTCTCAGGTTTTTATAGAATGTACATTGCACACATTAAGTTATTAATTTCCACTTTTACATTTAATCTCAAATTATAAGAATGGGTGCTACCCTAATTTATAGAGGTCCCATGCTAAGAAAAATGTCCAAATAATCTGATAGAAAATTGCCAAATAATACCAAGTTCTGGTTAAAAGTTGAGGAGGGGTAGGAAATAAATGGTGGAGGTTGTATTTAGTATAACATTTTGCGAACTCATGTCCAGCACGGCCATGGGAAGCACAAGTCACTTCATTGCAGCACTAGAAACAAAGAGCCATAATTGCAGTGTTCCTGAAAGGAACTAGCATGAAATAAGTATATGATCCAAAAAATGAAATGAGCTCATTTTAGCTTCAGATAAAAACCTTTGTGAATGTGGCAATATTGTGAATGTTAATCAAATGTAGCTATTTCTCATATCATGTAAGGGGATTTTTCCTGTACAGGTACACATGGATATTTCAGTATTCAAAGCAGACCTCAATACAGCCCTTTATAAAATACCTGAATTGAAGCAGCAGCTGTCTTGCTAAATGTAATGCATCTTTTACTTAAATGTGCTTACATACAAGTCCAGAAGAGTAAAACAGCAACTCTGTGATGATTGTTTAGTAGCAAAATATATAGAGAGTTATATAAAGATATCTATATAATACTGTTTTCTTGCAACTTCATTGCTTTCCAAATTGTCACGTATCTGTCCCAAATGCTTGTGGGTTTTGAGCTACTGTGCAAAACCACCCACAGCAGTTCACCTGAGCTCAGGCCACAGTGGGCTCCCCCCTCAGACACTCATCCCCGCGTGCCCGCGAAGCCACCACGGCACTCACAGGCGACAGAGGTGACGCTGGCGGGCAGGTTCTGCTGGAAGGGGTGCTGGTCCGCCTCGGGCTCCTCGGGCTCCGACAGGATGTGGTGGCCCGTGTGGGACAGGTAGGTGACCTGGACCTGCTGTGCCGGCGGTGCCTTCAGCTTGTCCAGGCACTCCGAGTCACGGCGCTCCTCCGACTGCATCCTGGGCCAGATGCGCTCCCTGCGCCACAGGATCAGCGCCACCCGGTCACGGATGGACTTGGCCACGATCTTGAGATCGTTCTCGTGGAAAAAGCCCGAGTCAATCTGCACGGGAACACACACTTAGCATGGTCCTGAGCACGTGGCTGGCACGCACACAAGCACACACGTGACACTGGAACCTCTTCCCAACAAAGAAAACATCCATTTGAAACAACATGAATTTATATTAATTTATTTCTCACAAGAACAGGAACTCAAGAGCTTGATGGAGTGGGGTTCTTTCTCAGTAAAACTTCTACTCCCAACGCATTAAAAAAACCCAGGATGTAATGTCTAAGACCTGACTACATACTGGCTCTAATTATCCACCACTGAATTTCCACTGAGGAGAGCAAGTTTAATGGCAGATGGGTTTCCCTCCTTTTTTTTTCCTTTTTAACACTAAAAGAATAGACAAAACAGGAAAAAGAATCTCTAAAAAATGCACCTGGAGAGAATCAAACTGCCCCTAAATCTGAATCTTAACTCGTCCAACACACAGAATTATCCAAATTGCTCCGCTTAATAGCACAGCAAATCATCAAGGACAAGAGGTTAACAGAATTATGTTTCAAAATAACTTCTCTTAAATAGTGAAGTCAGTCAGGATTGATTGACTTTTACAAAGAGAAAGCAGACTCTTCCCATTTGATGGAAAAGGGGATGAGGCTTCTCAGAACTCAACTGCTCAACAGATAAAATGGAAATTCATCTTCGTGTTATTTGTTTGCATAATGTCCTGCAGTGCAGGGTACAAATTTTCATTTGATAATGCTGTACCACAGCTGTCTCTGCTCTCCCTACATTCTTAACATGCACATTTGACAGATTTGAAAGCGCTTACATCCATGGGGAAATCTTGAGGCTTTCCTGCTTTGCTCTTGCCCAAACATAAGACACTTTCACAGCTTAGATTTTCACTGCTAAAATTAATGGGTGCAAAGCACCTTAAAACACAGCTTTAAGAGCTAACTTCACTTTCCAAACCCACTAGAGTGTTTCCACTTCCCTTTGCCCATATCATTTGGGCAGGTGGGACTGCCAGAATCCCGTCGGCAATGATAAATAATTCCCTGTACTCAGAAGGTCTCCTGCATTCCTCTCTTCCACAACACACAAAGCAACAAACAGATGAAAGCACATGGCTTTGGTGTTCCACAATTCATAAGGACTAGAAAAAGACATTTAGCAATAAACGTCCCCTTTTTCTGCCTCTGCAACAGCCTCAGGTTTGAAAGCATTTAATGGGCAGTCTCTTAGGTATGCATTAATGTAGAAAACAGAGTTTTGAATTATTTGGGAATAGGTACAGTGTCACTGTAGTTTGGGCATGATCCTTTTAAATATACTTTTCATGAGAATTATTTCCTCTTCAAAATAAAGCATCACAACTATGGACCAAGCAACTTAAGAGAACTCTGAAACTCCAAATATTTCTATCAATATTTAAATGTAAAATATAACAGTAAGTAATGGTACCACAGCAATTTTTAAACTAAATGAGTTCTGTAATAATATATTGCTGGAAAAACATTGGACCTACTGCAAACTAACGACAAGAAGACAAAGGAGCCTGAATTCCTCCCACTAAACTCGGAGTAGATGGTGATGAGTTCCAGCTGAACAAGGCAGCATTACCAAAATGAGCGCCTCCTGAGCAGAACACGAGTGGTGATGACATCATTAAATGGGATCCCTAGGGATTTAGAGTCTAACAGGAACATTTCTGCAAGCACAGGAATGTTTCTGCAAACCTAGGAACGTTCAGACCCTTGGCTCAGTGCTTACTGACCCTGAGCCTCTGTGACATTAGAACACCAAAACAATTGCAGCAAAGACATCATCAAAATAGGAGTTCAAGGACAATGTAGTGAAAATGGAACACAGATTCCCTAACAAAACCCCACAAGTATAAAGAAATTCAGCAAGTGAAACTTATCAGTTAAAAAATCCAAAGCTTACTCCTAACTCAGTGAATCCAATTTCCTATCAAAGTTTGGGGGTGGAGCAGCTGACCACTGACCTTCCTCATCTACATTCCTTCAAAGGAACACCAACAGAAAAGATGGGGAAAGTGTTTTGGAGAATTCAATGCAGAATACTTTGTGATTGAACTTCTGAACTCTTCTAATGTATTTCTAGCTGCTGTCTGGAACTAAATAGATTCCAAATAAATTCAAAGACATCCAACAGCCTATAGAAACTGGCAGAAGAGCGTGCAAAATATAAAAGTAGACCAGACCTCTATAGTTCCTAAGCTATGTAAACTGTGATTTCAGGCATCTGTTTTCAAACAGTATGTTTCAGTTAGCTGCTCCCCGTTCACCCCTTTCTTGCAGTAGTCACTCCAAAATCAATGCAAAGAGCCTAAACTGGACACCTGGAGTGCTTCAAGTGAAGTTAGTTTACTCAGCTTGTTCCTGCTGTCCCTTGGGATTCATGCACTACTTTCTATATATACACATTTTTATCAGAAGTGTATTTTACCATTTCTTGTGCAACATCATCAGGAGTTTCCTTCTCCAGATCAAAAGTAAACTCAATGGCTCCATTATCTTTGGGTTTTCCTTTCAGTTTCTTAGGATCTTCTACCCAGAGTCTTAAGGCAATAGAGGATTTCCTACCATGGTCTTCTTCTGCAAGTTCCACTCTTACCCCAGTATCTTCAGCAAAAAAGGCATGGCTTAATAAATCTTTAATTTCATATCTGCAAAGGATATAGAGAAGAATCAAACACTGCATGTCCACAACTTTAGAAAGGTTTGTAAAAAGAAACTGCTGTTAAAAGTGGAAATATTTACACTGTTTGGTGTTCACGCATAATGAATTTGTGTTCTTTCTGAAAAGATGTGGGATTTTGAAAAGAAAGTGAAATTGAAAAAGAAAAAATTGACATTTCCTATTTCTCAAAGCTTTAGCAATATTCATACACCACAAGCACTTAGAGAAATGCAGATTATAGCTTTGTTCAACTTTTCCTAAGTATCTGAGCTTAAAGAGTACCAGAGAAGAGATTCTCTCTAGGCTGTGAGCTGCAGTCTCTAAAAACTGTATTTGTGAAAGTCAGGAGATATTCAGCACGAGACAAACTGGCAGAGACCAGTAAAACATTAATTTTTAAAACCAAAGCTGGAAACTAGGCATAACGAGTCTCCATATCCAGAGGGCAATGAAATCTGCTATTACAGCTCATGATGAATCCACCACAACCACTTTTATCACCCTCCCTGCCCCCTACAGAACCTTCCCATTGGCATTTTTTGGACTGCTGAACCAGAAATTGCAAGAATATCCTAGCTCAGCTCCACAGTGATGCTGAGTGGCTGAGAGACACAACAGCACTGCTTATCCTGCACTGAATGCCAGGAAAGCAGGAAATAATTTAGACCTGCACTTCCATGCAGCATTTTCTTCTGCACAGGGCAGACCCACAGACCAGAGCAGAAATTCCACAGACAGTTCTGAAATCCCTGCATACACGTTATTTAAGACAAAACTCAGTCCCTTGAAACAAACCTTTCTTCTTTGTTTTTGCAGATGCACTCCCCAATTATCTCCTTAATTTCAGGATCGGTAACTTTCTCAAAGCTTGCTGGCTTTATACCCTAAAAGCATAAAGAAAAACAATTTAATGTGAAAAAGAATTACATTACACCTCTTAATTAAGCATATTTTCTCTGCATTTTAAAGGTAACTCAACCCAGGAACTTATTAAAACCTTTAAGTTGCTAGCCTTAATGCAAAACTGAGTTAAGGATCTAGGGGTACTATACTTCTAAATACCATTGCACTTCAAAACTAATACACTAATGTGCACGAGCTCAGCCCTACACAGGCAAAGTATCCCTTTTTCTTTACCAACCTTTGCAAATTTTACCTTTATATCCTCTGGATTCTAAAGTGAATATTCAAGAAACAGCTAAGTTTAAATTTCAAAAATAACCATTTTCTGAAATGATTCCTTTTATGTTTTTGTCGCAACTCTCAAAGCACTAAATGAATAAGGACGGATAATCACATTTTTCTTCAGATGGCTAGTACTGAAAATGAGTGAAAAATACCTTGGAATAGTCCATTTTCCTGTTTCCCAAAAACCTCTTGCATTTCCACGACCCAAACACTCTCCAACGTATTCCCCTCTGCATAAAAAATTAAAGATCAACCCCAAAACCAAGCAGGGAAGCAGGAGAATACAACATCTCTGCACTGCTCCTGAATTTCCCAGGATGTTGTTAGAAACCCCTTGGGAATATGTGATAGAACAGGTGCAACCTATAAATCTAGTTAAATCTCTGTCAAATGTTAGCATTTTTGCTGGGAACAGATTTGGAACAGCAACCTATGAGCGTGGCCTTTCAAGGAGAAAAACCAACTACCCACTGCAGAAGAAAACCCTGGGAAGCAGAATCAGCGTCCCCACATCCATGGTTATATTCAGCTACAGGTGACAAGTGGAACGCAAGAAGTTCCTTTTTTTATTTTTGATGTCCAGCATAAATCACAGAATTAATTGATTCCCTTTTAAAAACATGTTATTACCTCTACTTACTAAACCAAGATGTACGTGGATGAAAATACGACAAAATTTATTTAAGAAGAGATGATGCAGTTGGACCTTATCACTTAAGGACCCAAGTACTTCCAATGAAGTCAATGAGCAGAACAAAAAGGAAACACAATTTCCTTTATCTAAAAAACAGAATGTGGTTAAGCACATAACTGAATGGCAATTGAACATTTAGCTCCATACAAATCCTTTTAAAGTTTCACTCTGAAATAACAGTAAATAATGGCTCACGCAGTCACAGATAAGGAGCCCCACAGAGTAGACTTTTAGCTCACCCAGTGGACTGAAAGAAGAAAACAAGTATTTTCAAAGAGGGTCTGGAAATAATACACTGAATTGTCTTGAATAATTTTTATGGATGAATTTCAGTGAGGGCTGGAGCCTCTCTCAGAATTTCTGAATATTTCAGCATCAGATTATATTTTTACCCTTTTATGAACATTCTGTTCAAGCCTCAGATTCTATTTCAAACTTGATTAATTAATAATTTTCGATCAACAACCCCCTATTTGTCTTGAAATTCTAGCATGAAATATGTAAATTGTAGATTTTGAAAAAATAATAATAAATATACAGAACAGTCACTCAAAGACTCAGCTCCTTGGTTTTGTTTCAGCAGAAAGCTGCAGTGATCCAAAGAAACCCATTTTTGTGAGAACAAAACAAAATAATCCATACACGTGGCTGGCTGGCTGTGACCCACTAAAAAGAATTATTTGCTTAAGCAAACCTAAATCTCACTGATGAGACAAGGGTTCAAATTTTGTGTATTAGAAAAATGTGTCAAAAGGCACTAGACTGCCTGGGCTGCAAAGCCCAGGCTGGCTCAATGTGCCACGGTGAGCTCTTAGGAGAGCTCTGATACCTGAATCAGAAATGAAAGAAAACAAAGCACCATCACAATGTATTTTCAGCAGGACTCCTCTGCACCATAATTCATGTTTAAGCTACAGGAGTCTACTGTGTTCTCCATCAGGAAGAAGGATAAATCTATACATTTCAATTCACTGTTGTTTGCTATGAGAAAACTGATTTCCATATTAGTGTGACACTGTCCAGGAAGAAAGCGTAATAAGATCTAATAAAGACTTTAACCTGAAGAGAGACAGGTTTAGATTAGACACAAGAAAGAAATTCCTCCCTGTGGTGGTGGGGAGGCCCTGGCACAGGGAGCCCAGAGCATCAGATCCCCGATGACTGGTTCCCAATATTGACCTTACAAATTGCTTCCACGAATAAAAAACAGCAACTCTTCCACCAACACTTTTCCCATCTTTGGATGGAACACTGACTCCTCTCAAATATCCACTGTGCTCATCTGCTGGACAGCTAAGCTATGAGTAGATGACTGAAACAAATGAGGACAAAAATTGTGAAGTACTGAACAGAGTTGCTTTGGCAAAGTGTTTTCTCCCTGTCCCTGTGCTATAGGATGCTTCTCTTCCTTACTCTTCATTAAACTCTCCAAGGCCAGCTCACTGGGATGCTGCAAACCCTCCCCTGCAGCACAGTGCCCCTGACAATGAAGGGGGATTCTATTTGCCATCAAAGGGCTCATCTCATTCACCTAAACAAAAGCCATCTGTCTTCCCTGAGCATTCCCAAGGAAACACAGCACCAAAATTCAAAGTGTATTAGCCAAGAGATTATCCATGACAGTTTGAAAGCTGTACAGCCTCTTCTAAATTAAAATAAATTCAGTGCCACCACATGTGAAAGGCAGAGCTCACTGGGTGGCCATAAGGGGCATAATGATAATACAGATTCCTTAAATGTTGAAATATATATACACATATATAAACCAACATCAAAATGAGAGATCAAATTGAGAGCTTCTCTGTACCAAACAGGACAATTTATTCTGACTCCCTCACCACCACTTATTTCCATACCCCTCTTTCTGAAGAAATTAGATTTGTGATCCATTGCCCTCCAGTACAAGGCAGCTGAGTCTACAGCCAGACACATAGAGAAAAAGTTGCATCCTTCATGCTGAGGGAAGAAACGTGCTGCTTATTCTGCAGGGTCTAAAAACAGCCACTGGCCATTTTCCATCAGCAGAGCACACTTTGGAAGAGCAGCACGTGATGCTCTGAAGGGACACAGCGAATGCCACACAAGTCACTGGCACGTCTGGCCCACGTCAGTCAGTGCTCGAGAGCCTTTTCTGGCCCCTAGAGGTGCCCTTCCACCCCAGGGTCAGCCAGCTCTGGGCTGCCACTCCACCTTCCAGGCTCGTGTCATTCCTAAAAAAGGAAAAAACCTTCTACCAAAAAAGGTGAAGCCATGTTTCCAACTGAAACTGCACCCTGGTACACACTCTCTGAAGTCAGTGAAATGAAGGTAAAGCTCTCAATTTTACCAGGATTTTGTTCTATGACATCACAGTGTACCATTATAAACTCATCTCTGTTTCCCTCCAGAATGGTGCTCCATCTTATTGCCAAGCTAAGAGGGTTACCTGCAGATCTAAGAAGATCTCCAAAAGCCACAAGAAGTCCATGCAATGACACTGACAGCATGATTTGCCTGCTGTCATTGTGCCACAGCCGCAGCATTAATTCTGTATATGTGCACCATGGCATAGAGCCTGCATATGCTGAGAAAACCTTCAATGGTTGATGAGAACAAACAGTATGAAAGCTTTACATGCAAACCAGAACACTGCCACAGGGTGTTGTGAAGCACAGGTTTGTACCACTGAACCCAAGGAGATGGCCAGGAACACTTTAGAGATGCAGCTGCTCTGCTGTGCACTCTGCAGCACATGCCTAAGAAAACACTAGGCTGGAGCAGCCTGGGAAGGTCACGGATTCCAATGTTTCATCACTATTGTCTACATCAAAATCACTTGGCAGAATGATTAAACACAAAAAAAATCTGAGTAAGAAAAACCATCAAGTTATGCATGAAAAATGAGATTATGGCATCAGAACGAAGGGCACTGCAAATATGCTGACCAGGAAATCACTTCAAAGTGAACTGTGGTAAATGTGGCTTGACCCCACTGCTTGGGAAAGATGTGTTTTCTATTTACGGTACATATCCATTTCTGAAATGTTTACACTCCGTCATTCAGGCTGAAAGGGCAGAGAGAGGTGACAGGCTGGAACAAGCATGTCTTGTCTGGCACAGAAATGAGCCCCTCTGCCCCTCCCAAACATGACCACCTCCTTATCCTGGACAACTGCAAACATACAGGCACACGCAGAAAAACAGAAATGCAAAAATTTATCCAGCAATTTAGCCATAAGAATACAGTCGGGCAGAATAAAAGGTCGCTGAAATAAATTAAATATAATAATCTTACACCACAGACATGCAGAATATGACATATGCTGAAATAATGTCTCAGAAAGGTAATGTTTACGTTTTCTACACTGATAGGGATGACCAACACGTGTGATTTGGACAGCTGGGTCTTCAGGTGTATCTCATGTCCTAGTACCAGGTAAGGGCATGGTAGAGGGTTCAGAGTAGAAACTACTGACAACATATTATAGTGGCAAAACCCAAATCATGCCCTGCCTGTGCTGGGCAGCAGAAGGAATATCAGCTCAGTGGGACCCAACAGAAGGTAGGCAGTCTAAACTTTTTGTTGGTTGTCACTCCTTGATGCAAACTCCAGCCAGCAATTTCAACCCCTATGAATGCTATCAATACCTCTGGTAGTTGCTACTACAATGCTGAGCCCAAGGCAGGAAAAGAAAGTTATTTTATTTTATACTTTTTAAATAAAGGCAGCAGGCAGCTAGACACAGCAAACACATTTCACAATGCACTGACCCTCAATTTAAAACACTAGAAATAGTATTTATATTTCTAGTGCAAAAAAGCCCCAGCTTCATAAAGAAGCAAATGTCCCACTGAGAAGCTGCAGCATTCGGGGGCTCTGCACCCTCTCCATCCAAGAAGGTCAGAGCCACCTTCTGCTCTTAATGAGAGCCCCAAAACTAATCTAATACTGGAAGAAAACAGTCTAATTCAGCTTCTTGGTTTCAGCCTACTCTCCGTTTTTGACTATATTTCAGTTTATAAGCCCCAAGGCTCTCACAAGCTGCTGCATCACCAAACCTAACCCTTACTCCAAGTGATCTTAGAGTTACTTTGTGTTTCTGCAGTCCCTGCCCCAGTGTAGGGCAGACCCCAGTGCCTGGCGCTGGCTCACGACCCCACACCCCAAACTCCTCCAGCTCTCCTCAGCCCCTCAGGCCACTCACGCTGCTCGGAGCAGGGTCCCTCCGTCGGCAGCTCCCCTGCAGATGCAGCTCTGCGGGAGGAGCTGTGGAGCCCACCACAACGTGGAGCCCACCACAAGGCTCCTCCTGGGACACGGCATCTCCCCCGGGAGAGGCTCCTCCTGCACCCTCACCCCGAGGTCCACCCCCTGCTCCTCCTTCCAGCCTGACAGTCGTGCAGCTCATGGCATTTGACAGGGCTTTCTCCACTCCACGGGGAGCTGGTTAACCCTTTCCTTGGAAAAACAGTAATGCCAATTTTGCCATCTAAGGAATCCTGGTGACTTTGCTCCCACTGCTACTACCCCAAATTCAGATGAAAACTGCACACCCTTTGTGCTGGTACCTGATGCTTTTGTCTTCAGCTTTCCCTGCCAGACAGTTCTGCTTCAAAAATACCCCCAACAAGGACCTTCCAACACCTTCTCCACCGTTGCTTTTTCTATATGACAAATATAATCTCCCACCTCTCTGGAGCTGCCAGTATAAAGCCAGTTTTACAAAACTATAATAATTTACCATCTAATTCTGAGCTGTGTAAATGTTACTGCCCTAGAAAATGAGTTGGCTCAGGCTTCTTCCATCAGTGTTTAAAACAACGGCTACTTAAAGTCTAAAAATTGAAATATAACATCTAATTAGGAATGCTCTGATTAATCATTATTCTTTGCCATCTTGGATATTGTTTTGATAAATGAGGCTTAGGAGCCTGGCAAAGTCTTAATTACCAGTATTCCAGATGGCTACAAGGTGTGCACACAGCTTCTCTGGGTACATGGAGCAATGAAGAGCTCGATGTTCTCCGTGGCTCCAGGTGCACACGCACCTTCCCAGCAATACCAGCTCCCACTGCTCAGGTACACTGAGTACCTCACCAGTCTCACAGACAGGACATGAGGCTACAGAGCCTGAAATTAGAAGAGCCTCTTGTGCCACCCCAAGAACCCCTAGAGTCCAGGGAAGTGCCCCCTAAGCTGCCCACACTGGTAGCATTTAGGCCATATCTGAAGTACGATACCAAAACAGAGTCAACATCCTTTGTGCCAAAGCTAATAAACACTGCGATAAAGAATAACATGGAATAACAACATCGAGTAACCATGCAGCTCTAGGATCACAGAATCACAGAATGGTTTGGGTTGGAAGGCACCTTAATGATCATCTCATTCCAACCTCCCTGTAATGGGCAGGGACACCTTCCACTAGACCAGGTAGCTTCAAGTCCTGCCCAACCTAGCCTTGAATAACAGAGATAAAGGCAAGGAACTCACCTGAGCCATCAAACCCATTCCATGTCTCTGAGAGGCTGCAGCATGGTTTGCAGCCACCCCATGGTGCAGAGCATGGTAACCATCCAGCAGATCCATGGCTGCACACACTCACCTCCCTGCAATGCCAAGGGAGCTGCTACAGCCAGAGGATGAAGATAACTGCACTGCTGAGCAGCTTCTGAGGTCTTTTGTGGGCTTTAAAATTATTTCTGAGGGGCTCTGGGTTGAAAGCAACACTTTAAGAAGAATTAAACTACCACACATCAGCCCATTGGGCTGTATTTGTGGCCAATGGAGATAAAATCAGTGACAAAGATAACCGAAAATATTTCATGTAGCTGCATCAAAACACACTCCAAGTGTAGAATTGTAAGCTTACACATAAGCCTGAAACAGGTTTGTGTAAGCCAGAGCTCAGATACCTCAACTTCTAGAACGCAGTATACATTCAGCGGTACCTCACCAAAATATGCTTTTGAACCTTCCAATGAGAGGATCCAATACCAGTTAAGGACATGTACTCACACAGGTAACTTTTCGGTAGATTTGAGCAGCATTCTGGCATTCTGAGTAAGGGTATTCTGAGGTAGCCATTTCCAGCATGCACATTCCAAAGGCGTAGACATCCACAGATTCATCATAGTGCTCCTCGTACATTTCCGGGGCCATGAATTCTGGTGTACCTACAAAGATAATGTTGGTTTTTTACAGGAGTCCAAATGGCTTTACCAAAAGCTTTTTCACCTGTGAGAAGTGTGCCCAGTACAACTGTGTATAGGTGCATACAAGATAATTTCAAAAGAGCTCAAGCATCTCCCAGGGAGCAAATCCAAAGTCAATGCATGCACTTCCATGCCCATGGCTTGCTGACAATAATCCAAAGTGGGGAAGCAGGGCAGAGGGGAAGCAGGACAGAGGGGAGGGGGAAGGAAAAGAGCAGAAAATTTCAAAAACGAACAAGAAAATGAGCTATGGTTCATTTCCTGCCCATATTGAAGTGATAGAATGGTTTCTGTCTGGCTGGAGAGAAGGATGAGTAAAGGGCCAGGGAGGTGAAAAGGGAAGAAGAAACGAGAACCTTCACTCTTGCTTTTATCAGTGCAAATTTGCTTTTTTTTTTTTTGTTTCCTCCAGAGATACAGAGTAACCACCAGCAGGCAGACAGCACTTTGGAAGCCAGAAGTATCACAAATCACCTACAGAGTCATGCACAAAACATCAAACCTAATTCTGTCACTGGTTTAGTGGGACAAATCAATGAGGCTACACACAGAACAAGGTCCTACTCAATAGGAATTAGGGTACCAGGAATCTGATGCAACTTGGTAAATATGAAGTGAGGCACTGGGAGATGCAGCTTGGGGACAAGCAGCAACCCCAACACCGGCAACATTTGTTCAGCAAACTACTCTGAAAAGGGAGGGTGTACAAAGCAAAACAGAAAACTACTAACATTTGGGCAATTCTTTCCAGGAACTGTATCTCATACTGTAATTCATTTCTTTCCTTTCTACATAGAAAAGATGAAGGAAGAGAGATGAGTGCAATGGTGTGTCAAGGGACAGTAGCAGCAAGCTGTTGGGATGCCAAAAAAAGAGTGGCAGGTTTTGGACCATGAGAAAGACCCAGATAAACTCTTTCTGTCCAGCCTCAGCACCCAAACTGCCCACAGCCCTGGCAGATCCCATCAATGCTTTGTTATGTCATCACTAATCAGCAGCAAAAGCACAACTCTAATTAAAACAACATAGAATCAGAAAAAGTAGTTCTGGCATATTCCAGGATGGTTTGGATTGGATTTACCTTAAAGATCATCCCATCCACCCCAGCCACCTCACCCACTGCCATGGCAGGGACAGCTCCCACTGTCCCAGGCTGCTCCAAGCCCTGTCCAGCCTGGCCTTGGGCACTGCCAGGGATCCAGGGGCAGCCACAGCTGCTCTGGGCACCCTGTGCCAGGGCCTGCCCACCCTCACAGTAATATGTTTCTTCCTAATAGCCAGCGTAAATCTCCTCTCCTCCAGTTACAAGCCATCACCCAAATCCCTAAAGAAATTGAGGAAATGTCATACGTGGAGGTGTCCCAGGCCAGGCTGGATGGAGCTTGGAGCAACCTGGGGTAGTGGAAGGTATCCCAGCCATGGCAGACAAGATGATCTTTAAGACCCCTTCTAATCCCAACCATTCTAGGATTTTCTGACTTGTCCAAAACTCTTTTTAAATGGCAACATAAAGGACAACCCTCAAAATTAGGGTCTGCTTTTGCACACATTTCTGGAGCAGACTCAACTTATGAACAAGCATTTCTGTAAAATTAATTTTGCAAAATTCAAGATTGATCTCTTCCCTTGTTTATGTTCTTCTGCCTCGTCCTTCCACCTCAAAGACACTCATGCCTACAGCCTCAGCAAATCAGCCAGACCCATGTCATGGAGGCTCAGTGTAGTCACCCTCTCTGGGTGTTTGTTAAATCTGTCACTAAGGCAGAGGCTGCTGCTCAGAAAAGGTTAACAGCTGCCACAGGAAATTATTTTGGAGCTGCTGCTCTGCTTTAGAAGGAACACAACTCAGCAGTGAATCTCGTGGATTCCAGAGCATTTAAAACAAATCTGAAAAAGTGATAGCAATAGTCTAAGAACCAAATGGAATACTTGGCACCATTCCAAAACAGAACAAAAATGACATTTCCCCCATTCCTTGGAGTGGAAAGGAATACCTACAAGCATCCTTCAAGCTAACAGCCCAGCTAAACGTGAGGCTGCTCAGCACCCACTCAGCTGCTTTGGCAGGAGCAGGTTTGCCCTGGCTGGGCTCCCGCAGAGACACTGCAGTGTGCTGATTTCATCCCTTCCAGCCAACGTGAAATGCAGCTACTGATATGCCTTTAGAGCTACTCCCTCTGCAGAGGGGGCAGCATTACTCATCACCAGTGTTTCCAAGCCTCCTTTATCCTCTCCTTGGAGCAGTAGTGCTCATGAAAATTATAAGCTTAGTTTGATTGCCAAAATGAATGCAGACACTTTGCCAGCATCCTGCAGCCCTCACAGTATCAAATTCCTTTCAGACATGACTGTATTCTGATGGTGTTCTGTTCATAACTGATTTTATAAAAACCTGTGTAAGTATTACTAGTATTCTTACCAATATTAGTATTACTGATGCTACTCCTTGTATTGCTACTACTGATACTATTCCCAGTATTGATATTATTCCCAGTATTAGTACTTCTGGAATTATTCCCAATATTGGTATTACTTATATTATTCCCAGTATTGTTATTGTTGTTATTATTCCAATATGTCCCATGAACAACTGTTACCCTGCAAAAAAATTATTTGAAGAAATACTGACCCTCAACAGAGAAAAAAAAACACCAGTTACTAGAAGTTAAAAATGAGAGAAACTCAACAAATATAAACAAACACGAGTTCATTAAAATCAATGAAATTAAGCAGATCCACAGCAGCCAAGTACATATCTGAAATTTCTACTGTTTTGACTTCACTGGTTCTGGGCTCCCTACGCATTAAGGATGATACAGGAGGAAGGAGAAGAGGAAGTTATGATACCATTACTTACTGATTCCTATTTTTATAGGGGTATAGAGGCAACACTTCCACTTTAACTTCCACTACCAATTTGCTACTTTAAAATCACTAATGCAAAATGGGAAAGGAAGATGTTAAACAGACAGCCACGATACTGACCGAGGGAAGCCAAGGAGAACAGGAGCATTACCTATGACACTTTTGGCAAATGAAGCTCTTTTGAGTGTTGCCAGACCCAAGTCTCCTATTTTCACAGATCCAGTTGGTCCAGTAATAAAAATATTATCACATTTCAAGTCTCTGTGAATTATTGGTGGAGTTCTTGTGTGTAAGAAAAGAAGACCCTTCAGGATTTGCCGACACCAACTCCGCAGGACTTTAGGTTTCATCACCTTAAACCTCTTCAGATACCTGGAGCACAACACACACACAAATGGGTAAAAAGGAAGCGAAAATATTTTGTTAGAGATTTGAGGGACTTCAACAGCACAGCTTAAGTTTTCTGAAACTCCACTATGGATAAAAGCCCCTTATTAGATGCCACCAAAGCAGCACAGAAATATCCCAAAATTGAATGAAATAGATCTTTTCAAAGGAGGAATTAGAGCATTCAGTTTTAGGGAGAATGATAATAAGCATTTTTGGTGCAAATACAACCAAATATTTTGAAGTCTAATTGTTCAGTGATTCATTTCATGAAGAGAAGAGCTTTGGAATATGTTCATCTATTTTGAATCAGAAGAATACTGAAGTTTAATTTTAACCACAAACTTAGACCTTTGTACCACACACCTGCACTTCTGTCTATTTACCTGAAGCGCTGGTTAGGAGGGGACATTTGGGGAAGATGTAGGAACTGCTAATGCACTGGCAGAGCAGCACACTGGGTGAGTACTGCTCCCATTGGGGCTGAAAATCTGTTCCAGAATTCATGCCAACTGCTTTATATCAGCCTTAACAAGACTGTCAGTACCAGAAGCTATTAATTCATCCTGTTTAGGAGATAACCTGGAGCACCTTCAGCTTCTGAGAGATTCTACCATTCAAGTGCTATTCCATTTGAATTCCCTAACAAAACATGCAAATACAAGCCCAAGAGCAAGCACAAAACACACCCCGACAAATCCAAACGTCACAGGCAGAAAATGAAACACGCCAGAGAACAGCTTTGAGTTGCATAACCGAAACAGGGAAGCAGGCAGAAAGAGATGGAGGCCAAAATTCTGCCCGTCAAACCACTGCGGTTCAAATGCAGGGACAAATGACAGACACCAGAGAACAGCTCCATTTTTTGCTTTTATCTGGAGATGGTTTTTTTCAGCATACAAAAGTAGGATTTTGCTATAAATGTCTGCTGCTATTCTTAGCCCCTTGCAGGAGCGCAGTACTTACGTCTTCAGCGTTCCAGAGGTCATCAGCTCGGTAACCAGCACGATGCATCTTTTGCCTTTTGCACAGGATTCCCAGAAGTCATAAAACCTCACGATGTTTGGGTGCTGTAGACCTTTCAACATTTCTGCTTCCTCTTTAAATCTCTGCCTCTCTACTTTTGTGAGTTTTCTGTCCTATAAGCCAAAACGAGACATTATTATTAGTGATGGACAAAAATAAAGGCCCTGCATTGCCAGGGTGTTCAGAATTTTAGATTTGTTTTATGCTTGTGTCAAGAGCAATCATAAAATCTTTTATGTAAGAGAGCAGCAGCATTATGAACTAGGGCACTCGGCCTAATTCCAGTATCAAGAAGACAAAGAGATGCCTGTGCTACGCCATTCCTGTGACAGCACTAATATTTCAGGCACCACGAACACAGCCGTGGCATGATGGATCAACCCTCAGCTATTTCTTCATGTTTGGGTGTTGAGAGGCTCCCCATCCAAGGGATAAACAGCCACAGGATGCCATTTCCAGGTCGGGGTGTTCTCACAGCCAGGACGGCTCCCACTGCCCTCAGCTGTTCCTGGATGCACTGGTACAAAGCACCAGCTGAGGTCCTTGCTGCTCACCACACTGGGTTCTACAGCCCATCCTGTTCACCTCAGGCTACATTAAAACCATGTTACTTCCCAAAAAAACCCAAACACATAAATGTTTCTATGTGTTTGCTGTTCTGCGTCATTTTGGAGACTTTTCCCTTCTTTTTGGTAAAGGAAGTGTTTGCAACTGTCCTTCAGCTTCTCGCATAGGCTGCATATGCATGGAAATTCTTTAGATTGGAAATGTGAAAATGTCATGTTCTACTACTCTGGTTTTCCTGGGGAATTTCAGGGCATTTCCCCTCCAGGCTATGATGTGACCCTATCCAGCACATGCAGAGACTCTCTGTCTCTCCCATGGCTCCATGGCTGCCTGACCACCCCAGCACAAGGACACCTCAAAGACACCCACCCCTGCCCTAGAAATTGAGCTTTTGGGATCTTTATAAGGTGCTCTTAGTCAGAAAGCCAAAGGCTCATCAATTAGCAAGATTAATTAGTCTGTATTTTGACCTCAGACTTCTTTCTTTTCTCAAGTCATTTAGGCACATCTATACAAGCTGCACTCCTATGCACACAGAATGAATTAAATGGGAACACAGCTGACTTGTAGCCAAGATGCAAAAGAATCAGCCACTGCCATTTCCACAGCCTGTCCTCACCCACAATCCCAGACAGTTCAAGATGGGAATGAGAATTCCCATGGCTACAAACACTACACATGGAGAGTTCATCACAGGAAACACAGGGTTGGAGCCATGATCTGGCTCTTGGTGGATGACAAAGCCCTGCCTCAGCGCTGTGTGTGCACAGGGGGAGCGTTTCCATTGGCACTGGGGCTGTTGAGGGTGCTCTCTGTTCACTCTAGACCCGTGCAGCAGACCAGAGCAAACCCTGCCCCAGCAGCAGCAGCAGCCCAGGGGCTGGGCAGTGCAGGGTGCCCAGGGCAGGCAGAGCCCCCCGTGCCCCTCAGGGACAGCAGCACACAGAACACCCACAGCTGAGCCAGGCAGCACCTCTGCTGCTCTGCACCAGCCACCTTTCTTCTACACCAAAAGAATAAAGCTAAAAAAAAACCAACAAAATACCCAAACTGTCTAACAAGTCAGGCAAGAAAAGCCACAGAACTGCTCTCAAATCCACCACTTCTTCCCTACTGATGAGTTTCCTTCTAATTTAAAACCTGTAGAATAAATCAGACACACTGCTGTTAGGAAGGAGAAGGAGCAAGTCCCCATTCAAGGCAGGAAGAGCAGAGTAGAGTGGGAGCTGGCAGAGAAAAGGAAAGGTGGCCTCAGAGATCCAGCAGATTTGCAAATATTTTCCAATTAAAAAAAAAAAAAGTAATACCATAGTCCTTGACTCTCATTTCCAGGTTTCTGAGCACTGTGAGAACTTTTCCACTGCTACTTCATTGGTAACTTTTAAAACTATCCTTCAGCACACAACCATATTCTGTATATTCTACATATGACAAGCAGGATCATTTTTGGCAAGTGCAACAAAGTGATTCTGGAAGGCAAATGCGTGTTTTATTTGTAATTACAGTAGAAAAAAATCTGGATTTTTTAAACCAGATTGAAGAAAAAGCATTGAGCACTGCTGAAGAATTGAGCACTGTTTTCCAGCTGGAGAGGCAAGGTGAGGGCCAGGGCAGAGCAGCCACTCCTGCGGCTGCAGCCTCCACCACAGGAGGGGTCTCTGGTGCCATCAGGGCTCAAACAGCCTCCTCGAAATTCCTCCAGGCTCAGCCTGACATGAGTCACTGGCAAAAACATAAGCTGATTCTGAAAGGGCTTAAAGGTCGAAGTGTTTTCTACTCTGAAGCAGCAGAAACACCTGTTTAACTGCATGACTCACTCAGGGTTTAATCCAAAGAAACCTTCGCTGGGGTCAGAGACATTCATTCCCCATCATATAATCCACATAAGGCAAAATGTCCTCATCCTGAAACTAAGGATGTAAACCTCAAACAACCTCCAGGCATTACATTTTAATGTAATTACATAAAAACAGGATTGTTTGGAAAGGTCATGACAAAGAAAGGTGGTCATAGACTCATGGAATAGTTTGGGTTGGAAGGGGCCCTAGAGATCATCTGGGTATGAGGAAGGAACTCTGCACTGTGAGGGTGATGAGGCCCTGGCACAGGGTGCCCAGAGCAGCTGTGGCTGCCCCTGGATCCCTGGCAGTGCCCAAGGCCAGGCTGGACAGGGCTGGGAGCACCTGGGACAGTGGGAGGTGTCCCTGCCATGGCAGGGGTGGACAAGATGGGATTTGAGGTCCCTTCCAACCCAAACCATTCTGTGATTCCATGAATTTCTGATCAGCACTTCAGAGCCTCAATTCTGGTAAATCCCACGCTCATTTAAACTGGATTAACATGATATTTGCAGCAGGAAGATACAAAGAAGTGAATATTCTGTCTATTACCAAATTTCTGCTAATGCAACACATGTATGTTCTCTGCTTCTCCCTACTCATCACAGCTGGGAAGAAAATGCTTCTCTCTGTTAATATAAATTTTATCCCTTCATTAAGTTCCTTTATGGGGAACAACAGCAAAGACAGGAGTCAGTGAGTAAATGTGTTAACAAAAGGAAAGGGAAAAGTTACTAATTAAATTTCTGGAATGACACCCAAATTAACAGCAGGAACGTGTTCAGTTAGTCATCCCCAAGCATCATTTCCTCCAGGTTGTAACATATGGGCTCTGACTAAGGATCTGAAAATTATACAAGCAGGAGACTGGCTTTCACCTGAGCCTTCAGAAGATTTCCAAGATTAACAAACAAGGTCAAGTTTCTTGCCTAATTCCTTGCAAGGAGGAAATCGATTTGGGAATGAACTCCATCCCCCCACCATGAAGAAAGGGGCCCTTGCAAAGAAGACATTCAATTCACATTCAATACGTAGAACCTGTGTAGGAGTAGGGTCTGGAGCACAGCTGTTGCAAACTAGAAAGTTGTGCTGCTTTGCAGTTTCACAGAATTTTTTTAATTTTCTCCTTTTAAAGTCTTGAATTTTCACTAATGTAAAAAAATTTTAAACTACTTTAAACACTTGGATATCTTCCCTACTTCCTGGCCTACGGACGTCTGTGTCCAGCTAGCCTATAAATACTGTTTTTTAAAAGTTTTGTGTTTTGTTTTGTTTTTAAATTCTTCAACTGACATAGCTGCATTTACTGGTGGTTATTTAATTTTCTCTCATTTTGAACAGATGAAGGCCTGACTGTAAGGCAAGTAGGAGCACCAGGTCAGAAACGAGGGCAGAGCTCACCTCCATCATGCAGAAGCCACGCTGGTGATGAAGGAAAAAAACCAGAGGCACTTCTGAGCCAGGGACAGAAATCAAATACCTACATCAGCAGAATGAACATCTGTTCAGATCATTCCGTTTTCACATCTGCATTCCAAGTCCACACTTTTGTACATGTACTGCAACTACTCTTCTAATCAGGGATGGCCTCAAGTGTGAAGTCAGCGTGGACCCACTGCCAGCTGTCTCCTGTGGAACTGTCTGTCAGTTTCCTGTGGATTTATGGACAGTAGCAGTCCTGCTTTCACGTATCAGCCTTATATCTTCAGTATTATCCTGCCTGCGCAATAAATGTTTAATAGCACCCAGGACCTTTCATTCCCACACCCCATACACTCAGTTATAAGCACTTAGCACTGACAGCAATCCTAAAGGATAAAATCCCCTCTCTGTGAACAAATGGTAGATGCCATGAGACAACTTGCAAATCAAGAAAAAAAGATTTTACAGCTTCACTCCCTATCAGAATCCAGCCAACATTCTTCCTCAGTTGGTAACCCCGGCCAAGTTACAGCCTGCTATTTGTCAGCGGCACTACTGAAGTGCAGGGAGGTTTTCCCAGGGGGAACTCATTTTCCAAAGGCATAAAAGCAGTCCTTGTCCCCGTGGATACTCACAATTCACTGAACAGGAGCAATGGAACAGGCTGAGGAAGATTTACTTATTGGCCTGACTCACTGCTAGAAATCTATGGAAAATTAGGAATTGTATTCAGACCTTTATGGCTAAATTTGGCACAGTAGAAGAGGCCAAGTGTGGTTTATTGCTGGATATAGCTTGCTGCTTTCTCAATTGATTAAGGCATACCTCAAAGACTTACAGCAGAGGAACAGTGGGATTCACATCTTCTGTTGAACCTCAGAACCTCAGCAGTTCATCCTGCGAGGGCAGGAGGAAGGGGGATCAATACCCCAAATCTCCAATCCCCAAAGAGCCACAAACACACCCAAGAAACACAACACCATGGACAGACCATGCGTTTTAGAGGTGAAAACCTCTGTACACCACAGGCAGAGTGTGTTTTACAGGTGAAAACCTCCCAACATAACCACACAGTGACCAATGCTTAAACAAAAGAAGTTCTTGTCACAAGCAATTAAATTAATTTCAGGTAGCACCTCCTCAACTTCCTTAATTACCAGTGCTTCACAGGTTCCACATAAGCTTGTGAATGCAGATGACACACCAAAACAGTTCTGACTTGCCTTTCTCAAAGGAAGCTCTGAAAGCAATGTGTGAAAAAAGCTCCACAATACCAGATTCCCCTTGAAAGAAAAAGCCCTAACCACGAAAAAAACCACTTCAGGCATGTCACGAGAACCTGGTGTTTCAGTATTTTCTGGAATCCCATCTGACCCCAGCATTTACTGAAGTTTAAGCAACAATTGGTTGTTTTTTCAAAAAGCATTCTGCTTCAACCTACTTCTTGTAACCCACAAACAGAGTAACTGGGCAGGTGAATTACCCTCGCTCCAGTGCTGGATTGTCAGCACAGGAGGATGCTCCAGCTATCCCCTGGAGGCTCAGTCCTGGGCTGGCCCACAGCAGGAGTGGAGAGATTTCAGTGCTGTGCCTAAAATATCACCTTCAAAGAGGTAGAAACGGGGGACAGGAGCAGAGAGAACTCACTGCCCTTGAAGGGCTGTACCCCTGGTGTGCTGTGACCACTAAAAGCTGTCTCAGCACCAGCCCAGTGCAGAGTGCTCGTGAGCTGGGATAAGCCATCCCCTTCGTGCTTCATTCATCTCACCTCCTTAACTCTAAGGCAGTTTGCAAATTAACTTATTGTATGGATATGAAATTCCCTTATATTTTCTGGTCTAGTGGAAGGTCATGGGGGCTGGAAGATGATCTCTGAGGTCACTTCCAACTCAAACCATTCAAGGATTCCATTATTCTCTTTGCTGTGTGTTTGCTACACAGACACGGTATCTTTCCTAAAGAAGAGAGATGCCACCTCTTGCTCACCTGAGAGCCTGCCAGAGAAGCCCCACCACCCTCTGCAGTCTGAGAGGAGGCACCAAAATTGTTGTTATTTACCAAATGTTGTTATTTACCCAAACAGCATGCAACGCTCCCTTGGCCAATGAGCTTCACCAACCAAAATAAACACAGTGTGAAGAATTAGCAGAATAAGCAAAGTTCGATTTAGCTTTGCTCTGGCAAGTTTAATCTTGGGGCAGCATTCAATCCTGCCTTTCTAACAAGAAAACAGCATTTTCATCCCATTATTGCTACCATTTCCCATCCAGTTATAACCTAGCAATTGCACACTTCAATCTGTAAAACACTCTTAAAGTGAAATTAATCATAGTACCAGTGAATTAATCATAGTCCACCAGGAACCCTAAACAGGCAATAGGATGCTCAGCTGGTGTGTGAT